CCTAATTTTAGAAGTTAGCTACGAATTGCTCATTTCAGAAGTTAGCTATGAATTGCTCATTTCAGAAGTTAGCTGTCAATTTCCTTATTTCAAAAGTTAGCAATGAATACAATAGCTCAATTTTTCCTAAATTCACCTCGAAAGATACATTTTTTCAAATCTATACTTTATTTTTATAATCTTTTAAATTGCATTAATTTGAATCAACAGCACAAAATTATATGCTGCAGTGGTTGACTATATGTAAGCTGCAGTGAACTGTTACATTTTCAAACATATTTTCTAAAATTAAACAATAAGAGTAACTTGTGATATCAAGAATTCAAATTTTTTGGAATTTTGATGAATTAAAATTTGCTTACATTGTTTTGAATAATAGATAGTTCTGCTTCCTTCCTTTTTGCTTCTTCTTGTAAAGCTATTAATTCACTTTGTAGAGATGCAGCTTTCTGAAATACGAATATTCAACTTATTACTTATTTTTGATTCATTAAAGAAAGTAGTTTTAAAAATTTACTTTAAACTATCATCAGACATCAGAAAATTACAAAAATACTAAAGCTAAAAAGATAAAAGTATAAATTGCCACTTGCTTCATTCTGTTGAATCAGTTCTGATTCTTTGTTTTTTGCATCTTCCCGAATACAGTCTACTTCTTTGCGAAGGTTCGCAAGTTTCTGAAATTATATTTTTATGCAGTACATTTGAAAGGAAACTTCTGCATTTTATTTATGTCACTTAATTAAAATATTCAAGTAAAATATTCCGCATTTTCACATATCGCAAAGATATTATTATTAGCGAAATTCTCGTCAAATTCCCTTGTATTACATTTATATTTTATGAACTTAAAAAATCTAAAATGAAAAAAAACTGAGATCTTGAAAATAATTGCTAATCTATGTAATATTGAATCTGTAAAAAGTATTAATTTTCAAACAATATACTCACAATTACAATCATTTTTATTTTTCAACTATGGAATAATTTTGATTTTATGCATACTGTCTCATTCTCTAATTTGATCTCACTGATCTCCGTTACACGACTTTCGACTTCACATCTGATCTGATCAATCTCACCACGCAATTCCTCATTTTCAACCGTTAATCTAGTAATAATGGCTGAGTCTGCTTCACTCATTTTCGTTTCCTGAAGTACTATATTTGAATAAATTCTCAACAAATAAAATGATAATTACTGATATACAATAGTAATAAAATGGAAATAGAACAATACAGTACGATGAAAAAGTAATACAATACGAAGAAATTTTTTCAAGGATTATAACTTGGTAACCTTTGCATACCTGTTTGACCAGCATTAAACTTTGCAAAGCAGCTGATTTCATTTGTAACTCTCGTTGCAACTCCTCAAGACTACATTCCAATCGGGATTTCTCAGAATCCATAATAACTCGAAGTTGTTCCGATTCATTTCGAGCTTTCTCTACTTCTTGACTTTTGCGACGTACTTCATCTTGTAAAGTTTGTACATCCATATTAAGCTGCGATTGAATAGCCTGATAATACATATATATGCATAGATAATTTCCAAAAATAATCAGATTGATTCTTATATACACTTGCGATTCTTTATAAATATAAAATATATTGACTTAATGCTTTTTTGCAATCAAAAACAAAGCAATAATTAATTTCAGATTTGTTAATCCAACTTGTTAGCTTTTATAATAACTATTGTCTGCATTCCAAAAAATTGACTCATAGCATTTGCCATACCAGACAAGCAAAACAATTACTAAAATATTATCCATCTGTTTCTTTAAAGTTTCATTTTCAGCCTTTAATGGACCATTTTTTTGCTCTTCCACAGTATCACGATTTGCATCCGCTAACTGAGCTATCAAGCTGTTAATCTGGAAATATCTAATAACCCTGAAGTCAAATATTAGAGTAAGTATAAGTATGTGTACTGTGTACTTATACTTTTAAAATGGAATACTTGTGTAGCAGCAAATCCAACGTTTGGAATTTTTAACTTGTCATGAACTTACTTCATAAACATGAGATAAACAAAATGATTCATAACTGATAGTACGAAAACACAATAACAGACTACTTACTTCCAAAAACACAATAACAGACTGCTAGCTATGATCTGAAATCTAATGAGCTAGTTACCTGCAAGAAAAGTTCTTGTTTTTCAGCCTGTTCTCGATCTAACTGCATCGTTAGTTCCCGTTTTTGACTTTGTAACATTTGTACATCTAGCGGTTGTTTTGCTTCTAATGCACGTTTTTGATTTTCCCATTGCTGCCTTTAAATATGCAAATTTAAATTCAAAATTTTTGAAAAATTTCCAACCTCAAACAAATAAAAAATATTGCAAGTCTGTAAAAAATTAAAAGATGAAACTGAAATTCGCATAGTTTATTTTTTATTACTTATTCAACTGTTCCTCTTATTATTACTTCTTGTTCAACTTTCACAAAATTTGCATATGTTAATTCATATCTCTATTATTGATTACTTCGCTAATAATCACTAACTTTTTCAAAGCTTTTTCAAAAAACTTACCTATCTCTTTCAAATTTTTCCAGTCTCTTTTTCAGAGAATCACATTCTGAGGTTCGCTCTTTTAGAGCTTTCTGCAAAATAAGATAAAACTTAAATATTCAAAAAAATCAAAATTTTATTGCCAAATTAATTACTACTAATTTTATTACACATTTTTAGCTATGCTCAAAAATCTTTGTTCAAGCTTATTAATAAATAATACTAAAATCAAATATGACGATCGCTGACAATGTGTCATATAATCATTATTAAACATATCATAATAATTTCTCGATTAAAGCAACTACAATCCGTCTTACTCATTCCAGAAGATAATAACTTTTCATTCTTACTATGCGCAATAATCAATTGAATAATGACAAATTATAACCAAAATATATTCAAAATTAATTCTGAATTCTTATTGAATTAAAAAGTTCTACAA